CTATACGAATCTATATGCCAAGTGATTCACAATGGAAAGCTCATTGATGCCTTTGAAGTGAAGACAGGAAGGAGTAAGACAAGGCTGTCGCCTACTATCACCGATCATCTTCCTGATTGTCGTCGGCTCGACTCGACTGCACTGGATTGGACTGCACTGGATTATGCAACAAACTGTGAGGAGAGAGAAGAGGAGCATACGCTAACTGGAACGATGAAAACACACCACACCACAAGAAGATTTCGATTTCGCCACCAATTATGATTTACGTCCACTGTCTTGTCTCACAAACTCGAAGATCTACAGGTGAAAACTAACAAGTTGACAGAAGAGGTGAGGCAGCGAAGGAAGATGGGACTTCCTTCAAGTGAAGGTAGGGAAGACGGAGGTGATGGAGATACTCAACCAACATCAACATCAACAACAACGACAATAACAACAATCACTAATCACCATGAACGGGAGAAATGTAAAGCAAGTTGTCTTTTTCATCTACCTACCTAGGTAGCATCATTTCAACTACAGGTGTCACAGATGAGGATATCAAGATGAGGATTGGAAAGACAGCAAGACAGGCTTTCATTAGTGTGAAATCAGTGTGGAGATGTACTCCACTACACTCAGCACAAAGAATAACATCCGGATTTTCAACACCAAGTCAGTCAATTCAGTGCTGCCATGTGATGGTTGAGAGACTTGGCGCGTCACGAAAAGCATTTCCAACAAACAACTGCAGACATACATCATCAATAGCTGCCACCTACTCTCACTCGATACTGACAATGAAGATCTATCAGATGGTCAGAACAATAAGATAATGATAATTCTGCTAAAAAATTTCTCCGCATTGTACTTGAAGCTTAGTAGTTAGAAAAGTAGTTAGCGGTATGAAATGACAACAATAACGAAGCAACTTTTTAAAAAAAGTAAATGTTTGCACCTTTATAAAGTTCGTTTCCTGTTTGTTCAATTGGTTTCGCTCTCTCTCAAAGAAGGCTGTAATAAAAGCGCTACATGTTTGTGCTCATATGTAATCCGATATTCTGTTAATTTATTTGATGAATCGCACAGAGAAACGGTATAATTTATCAGATGATAGTTTGAGGACAACTTATTGCTCAAAATTACATCAGGGACATGTCTGAGTGACCTTGGCATATATATATATATATATATATATATATATATATATATATATATATATATATATATATATATATATATATATAAGGGATTTAAAAATGGATCGATAGGTCAGCCATAACTGCGACTTTAGTGATTTTAATTCGATTGCAACAGTTTGAACCTGATGGGTTGGTGTCCGTAGATCTGAGTCGTCATCACAACCAGAATTTACTTCACTGAAATTACTTCCAGAAACAAAAACCTTTCCTTCCGGACTAATGTCATGTACTAAGGCTGAACAATAGGTTATATAGCCACTGACAACAAGTAACAGTCTGCTACTGAGTATTAAATCTTGTCTGCAATAATAATAACATGAGACTGGATATTTGAACAGGAGTTTTCAGTGTTTATCTGTGATTGGTTACGTAATAGTCTGTAGTGTGGCGGAAGTAATAAAAAATTAAAGATCTCAACATGGCATGAATTATTTCTAGATACAAAGCATCCATATATATTTCCAGGTTTATGAGGATTTAAGGTTAGTATTCATCACCGGCCAGTGTCAGTTGAAGATAGTTGTTTTGTCGTATCGTGGGACTCCTCAACAGTATGCACCCGCCACCCGGCTAGGGATCGAACTGAGGACCTGCAGGCCTCCTAGTGAACGTGCTAATTATCCAGCTACTGGGTCGAAGTTCAATGGTCCATAGTTTCCTATTTCTGTTAATTCGTGTTACAGCGCAACTATCTACTTCACTTTTGACTGCCTGATGCCACTGCTTACGGCTTGTCATTAGAACTTCGGGATATCCAACTCGAAGCATGTGGCCAATGAGCGCTATACAGTAATGCACTTCACGTTCTCCACGAGATCTAAAGGTGATGATTTTCCTCCTCCGCAGAGTAGTGTGTGTGTACTGCTGAGGGGTCTCATACGAGGACGAAACAGCTGTATGTTGTTATATGTTTTCCGAACCGATTGCTTTTGCTTTTTTCAGATACTATCAAAAGACAACTCTCGGGGAACTGTGTGTGTGACCTTTCCTGTCTCTACTTACAGTTAAACAGGATAACACTGTAAAATGCGGTTGAAGTAAGCGCATTTTTGTGAAGTTATTTTTTGACCAAGTTTTTTGATGATCTTCCTTTTTTGACCTATCTGGTTTTGTTACTCCTTGAAGAGTAGGGGAGGTGCTAAAAAAAACACATATCCTCCTAGTGTGGTAGCGATCACAATAGAATATACAACAGTTGTACACCATTTCGTAATTTCCTCCAGTTGACTATCAGTTCACGATAAAACTTCTAATTACATTTATCAGGGTCTTAATAATACCATAATGAAAGTATATTATTTCCGGTGGAAAATATCATATGGTTTGAATAAATTTCAACCTAGATAAAGGACAACTTTCGATCTATAATCATACTATCATTTCTTTTCATATATCCAAAGAAGGAAATGAATCCAAAGGTGATATTGGGCAATATTTCTATACCTATATGTAACGGCTTCTGCATTTCGGGACAAAATAAATTATTGCCCATTAACATTCACAAATAAATCAGAAGAAAACGGAAAAATTTCTCTAGAAGAAAGGGTAAACCAAAGCGATTAATTTATCATTTGTTTCTTTCCTTGTTTTTTGTGTGTGGATTGGCCAGTATGCAGAGTAATGTATGAATATTAGTATTGCTGTCAATTTTTTATCAGGATTACAGTTGCGTACTCAACAACTGATAGGCAGTCAGTGAACTCTGTATGACCCAGGCTGTGTACTATCTTTATATTCATCAGCGACGTGTATCTGAAACCTTGAAAAAGTGGACCATACTAGCTTTACTGTACGTTTAGAAAAAAAAGCGCTGGTTCGCAACATGTGAATTACAACACCTAAGCTGGTGTAGGCACATACTCACCTTTGAACCATGTAACAGTAAAAGATATTTGCAGAATAAAATAAGCTCATTTTATTTTATGGCCTTTCATCAGCTTCAAATGGCCTGCAATGGAAATGATGTATTAGTAGCAATAATGGCATAATATGTAGAAATAAGTAGAGATTCGAAATCCAGGATTAACAATAGGGTACTGAGTCAAGGAAATATACGAATTATAATCACAAACCCTAGTCAAATTCAGTGGCAATTTATGTATGATGAGACAGAAAATTCTGGAGCTGTACTGAGAAGGAGCTTCCCTACTGCCAGACTGATCTTAATTTACAATACGTTATACTCAATAACACAGTCGAAAGTAGACAAATACCGGTCTCACGTCACCTCCAACAGAGTATATCAATTCACCTGTGCTTTTGGAATCAAGTACTTAGGATGGACCGAAAGAACGGCGTCTACTCGATGTTATGAGCAGATTCCTAGAAATCTGTGTTTGAATAGCAACGCCAGGCACCGAGTGGGAACATGAAATCGAACCCTACAGGATAATTAACAAACAAAAAACCCTATGTTCATTACGGTCTACGGAAGCTCTCGCTTACAAACGTTTTCAACCTGACCTATGTACTCAGAAAGAGACTGTAATTAACCTTTCTTTACCTTGATAACAATATATAGTATTTGCGTGTGCATGTATCTATTCATCCCCTTTCTTTTGATTGCATCATCTCTTCATTAATTACTGATTATTATTCACTTAGGTTCCCAGTGGAACACAGGGCTTCAGTAGATCGCCTCTATTGCACTCTCTTTCTTCCAGTCTTTTGAACCTCATTCCACGACTACCCATAAGCTTTCATTTCTTCCTCAAACCATCTCCTTCATGTCGCCCTCACCTCGGACGCCCAACTCGTCGTTTCCCCATTGAATTCCACTCAAGGAACTGGCCTGACCTGGCGCGTGATGTCCCCAATCGACCTTCTCAGTGTATGCCGAATCCATATCCTCTTTCTTTGGCATATTTGTTGGGTGATTTCACATTAATGAAAGCCTGTCTTGCTGTCTTTCCAATCCTCATCTTGATATCCTCATCTGTGACACCTGTAGTTGAAATGATGCTACCTAGGTAGGTAGATGAAAAAGACAACTTGCTTTACATTTCTCCCGTTCATGGTGATTAGTGATTGTTGTTATTGTCGTTGTTGTTGATGTTGATGTTGGTTGAGTATCTCCATCACCTCCGTCTTCCCTACCTTCACTTGAAGGAAGTCCCATCTTCCTTCGCTGCCTCACCTCTTCTGTCAACTTGTTAGTTTTCACCTGTAGATCTTCGAGTTTGTGAGACAAGACAGTGGACGTAAATCATAATTGGTGGCGAAATCGAAATCTTCTTGTGGTGTGGTGTGTTTTCATCGTTCCAGTTAGCGTATGCCCCTCTTCTCTCTCCTCACAGTTTGCTGCATGATCCAGTCCACCACAAGCAATAATTACTTACTGAATATTAATCTATTTTTCATGTAATTACGTAACCTATTAGTTCTTGAACAATCCCTTCTTTTACACTGATTTTCGTTTGTCGTCCTTCCACTCCACAGCTTCAAGATTTTTTATCTCATCTTATACAAAATAGTCATGGATTTTGACAAAGATATGCAACTATTAATCTTGTATTTCTTTGACTCACTCACCACCTTATTGTTAACCCTGGATTTCAGATCTTCATTTATTCCTACATACCATTATTACTACTAATACTTCATTTCAATTGTGAGCTGCTTTCAGCTGATGAAAGGCAATGAAATAAAATGAGTTTGTTTTACTTTGCTTGCGTCTTTGTTCTTGTATGTCAAGGAAACTAAATGTATGACATACTCACCTGTTGTCAGTAAGCTTAATTACTCACTTCCAAGCCAACTCTAGTCTCTCTCTCTCTCTCAAATAAAAAAAGTGTGAATTAAATAAGTGAAACTCACTTCTTTTTCTCTAAATCTTCTCTAATTTGATTAAATGTCATCTTCGGATGACCATCATCATTTTTGCTCTTCAAGCAGTCATTATTTCCGCCAGTTATATTTTTTATCGATTGATTGGAAACTTCCTTTTTAATTACTTTGTTTACACTCTCATTATTGATAGTATCTTGTTGTAATTGAGATGGATTGCTAACAAAAGTGCCATAACTCTCTTCGGTTTTCAAATTTGTATACTCCGACTGATCATTTGCAACATCATCCTCTTCGTCTTCATTGGCATGATAACCGGGATTCTCGTTGGTGCCTTTCACATCAACGGATAAGTCATCATCCGCTTCATCCAAACTTGTTCGATATTCCGTATGACTAGGCATTTCATTCATATCTCCAAAATGCCCCAACGAACTTTGAGATGGTGTATTCTCAGCTTCATACTGATAAGAAGTGCACAACTCCTTGATGTCTGAATGATCAGCCATGATATCAGACACACCGACTGTGGTACCCATTGATGTATCACACGTTAATTCTTTCAGAGTTTTATTAGTATTATTATCGATAGTGGTACAGTTCACAGACTCCCCTATTGAATTTGTTGGTGTTGATGAGTGTTTTGATGGTACAGATTCACTGGAAATAATCGAATCTCGATAAGTATTTTCTGGCAAATGATTTGACAAATCGATGAGAGTTGCTGGTACTGTAGAATCCGTGTAAAAGTTACTGGAATCCTTTTTGTCTGATAGTTGACTAACTGTTGTGTACTCAGGGTTAGCTGTCACGTGATATTCTGTAAAAGAAAGTTGTGATTGTGAATTGAGAATGGTAGGTGATTCAGTGGAGTCAGGAATCCCCTTCTCAAAATTAGATGAATCAATAGTTTCTGCCTGAATGTCAGTTGATCTAGTCACTTTTTTCTGAACGTGAAGTGATCCGCAGACCTCTTTTTCTAGGTCAAATGACACTGTTACTTCTTCCTCAACGTTAGAAGAATCAATTAATGCTTCCTTTAAGTCAGGCGACTCAGTCAATTCTTCCTCAAGCACAAATGGCTGAGATGCCTGCTTGTTAGGGTTAAATGGCACAGGTGCCTCTTTGATTTCAGATATACCACTGAGAGTGTCTTCTGGAATTGTGTGAACCAATGTTCTAAGATCCTGTCCCAAGTCTTCCACAATAAATTCCTTTTTTCCACAGTCCTCTGTAAAACCAAAGGATTTTGATGAGGGTGAATTAGACGGCTGGTCTAAAATAAAATCTCTTCCTTTATCTGAAAACTCCCTTGGTTTCTGTTCTGTTTCAACTTCTAAACAATAGCTGGGTATTGTTTCCACTTGGTCTGTTGGCAATAAATCACTTCCAGCAACTTCGTCAACAATATGCTCTGTCGAATCAAGATGACACTCTGAATCTCTTGAAGGTGTTAAAGGAAAAGCTGATAAACAATCTTCAACAGTCCCTAATTGTGACTCTTGACAAAGTGAAAGTGGAGGAGAAGGGAGATCGTTGTCAGACAGCAGGGCTGCTTCGTCTTCTGGTATTTGTATGCGGTGAAATTCTGTTTCTTTGCGCAACTCAGCCTCAACTCTGTTAAAGTGACTGGGGTTATCGTCTGCAGCGTTTTTGCTTGGTTCGACTATAACAGTATCACTTTTATCACTGTCTTGACTGGAGTCAAACCCTTCTGGTTCTGTGGTAGCCAAAGGAGGAAGTTGTTCACCCTCTTGTAAATTGTAAACCAGGTTGTTGTGGTCAACCGACCCGTTGTCTACAAGCTGACCAGTAGTGACCTCCACGATTGTAATAGAAACAAACAAGTAGTCAGTCTATTAAGTAGATACAATGAAAGTGAAATATGTTTGATGGTAAGAATATTACCCTTTCCAGTTGTGGCTGACGGATATATGGATGTCTGATGTAACCGACAACCTGGAGAATTAAAACTTGACACTTCCAATCAAGACTGGATTATCTACAAGAGAATGAAATAAAAATGGTGTCACTGAGGAATGAATGAGTTATTTTGTGAAATAGTCAAAATGATTAACTGCAATCATATCACTACCCGTCTGCTACCAGGCATCTCCTACATTGTAATCAGTTCACAATCAGAAGTAGAGAAGTGTTTACATACAAGACCGTTATGACAGGAAGGCAGCTGTAAGTTTCGATGCTGCAAACAGCAGTAGTAATAATGATGATTATGATCATAGCGATCTGAGACCACAAGGGTTATGAAAGCGCATTCCTGAGCTGATTCTCCATAAATTAGGCAGGATTATGACCATTTTACGGATTTCGATGTATATCTCATGTGTACAGGCTGATTTTTGGTCTGTTTAAGTTTTCCATAAAGCTACAAAACAAGTCACAAGTCAATACCGTGTAGACAATGCTCACAGCCACTGTCAATGAGCTAGCTGTCACATAAAGGGAAATGGACAATTTCTGATGAGGAAAGAAATTCTATTTTAAAGAGGAAACCATGACAAGATTTCATCAAATTCAGGGGAACTACTTCACCCTCACAGTTCCCTTACTATATGCTGTAATAATAGCAATAATGATAACAATACAATTTATAATGTATATGATAGGAAGTAGCCTAATCTAAATCATCAGCCTCTAAGGTAGAAGTTTTCGATTTCAACCTTGTTTCATGTTATGGTGTGAGCAGGACGAAGCTGATTGGACAACATTGTCCTTCAGCCGACCAATGAAAATAAGTATCCAGCTTCTGACCTAGTAGCTTCATTTGCTGAGTAAAAACTGTATATAAATGTTTTTTTGTCAAACGAAATGTCTTCCTTACAGTCACTGATTGGTCTCTGTCTTTTCATTTCTGCGGCTGGATGAGGTATAAGGTTGCGAGGGAGAACAGTCACTATTCGTATCCAATCCTAGGGTCTCAATGTCTTATCATCGTTCGCGCATTGATTACTATCCACTCGATCACTGTATACTAAGTAAAGAATTGGTTTAGGCAACCATTGCACAAATCAGTCAAGTTGATGTACTCTGCATTCATACTAATTCGTAATGAATAGTCAATCACAAAGTCAATATCCATATTAAATTCCTCTAACTCGATACAGGTAGTTTTGGCATGAAAAATCATCTATGGAGTCCTTTTGACAAGTTTACAGTCGTCTTTCTTCCTCTCTCACTCCTTCTTATTTAGTTTCGCTGGTAAAAAACATTTTTAAGTTGACCAATTATGTTCAATTGTCAATTGAATATTCAACACGCTGCGAATGAACAGTTGTCACTGAAGTATTTTTTTTTACATGTCAACCAATAATAAAGGATGCTTATTGACACTGTCTGAGACAAGCGTGACTTGGCAGTCTCGTATTATTCATACTAGGGGTACGATGCATTCCCCTTATAATTCGTTTGACATGAAAAGTCCTCACTGATCGGATAGTGTGATTACAATGGATGGGCAATTGTGTATCGTACAAACACATGATAGCTAGAGAAAACCGTTAGTGAAGTGAAATTTAGCAACTGAATCTTCCAGCTCAACTTATAAAGCGCCAAGCAAGTACCGGAAGCCGCTATAACTGAACTTTTTATTTTATCTTCAGTCACTCATTATTACTGATAAAAAAGGCGTAAGTTGAAAATAAGGTTTTTAATCTAGAGTTTTTGATAAATTTGATTTTTCCTTCAACTCTCCCCCTCTATCCACTCACTACAAATATCCGACTTGAATGTAGATAAAATTCTGTTCAGCTGCCAATAGGTGGATAGTTCAGGTCATTGACCTTGACCAGTAGGTATTCATGTAAGATTTTAAACATCTAAACATTCCTATAACATTCGTAAAAAAGTCACAATCTGAATAATGAAGAATTTTCTTTTCAGTAAATTTTCAACAGGCTCTACAATTATACAATCCACTTATACAACGTGTAAAATCAAGTCAAGTTAGGAGGAAAAATATATTTTTAAACTAGAGTGAGATTTACAGGCTGAAAGATAATCTGTTCTGAAGAGTGACGCTCTAAGTGACATCTTATCACAGCGCCTAGCTACACCAGTCAGTATAAGGTTTTATTCAGGTCATCTTTGCACATTTTTTAGAAGTTGGGCAATGCTCAAGCCTAAACTATAGGATAGCTTACCTAATCTTAGCTCTTCATCTTAGGTGTTAATTTAACTGTTCCCGTGGAACAAGCGTACGATTAGGCAGGTGTGTCTATAGATAACAGAACATTTACCAGGTTGGTTCGAAAAAAGCGAAGTGAAAATAGTGAAAAGTTGTGTCTTAGCCCACCTAGTAGATATAGATTTTAACTGAGCTTTTAACGTTATATAACTGCGTACCAAAACAATGGTACATGTAGCTCAACGTATCTGAATCTGTCGCAATAAGGTTGATCAAACCTGAACTTTGCATTCAGAAAGAACATGTTCATGCGTCATTCCACAATTGATCATCGGTAAAACTAAAGCCCACTGTTGTCTCTTCTATTCGTTACGTTTTCATTCCCCATCACACTATCTCTATATAAATCAATGATTTTAATATCTACAAATTTAAAAGAGAAAAATCGATTTTTTAAAAAGTTCTTCAGTCATATTCCATTTTGAAAATATATTCTTGACTGTACAATTGCATTTTATAACTATAGAATCTGATGAGAATTTATTGAAAAGAATATTACATTGATTGGTCACTGGAGAGTAACGAATCTCACGTTGCCCGGTGTTGATGGAACTCTGTCGATCACTTTTGCAATGTGGCCACCAAGCTAGGAGGCTTAACAGTGCTGTGCACATTGATAGACAATTAGTAAAAAGCCCAGCACCTGGGTTTCGTGCTTGTTGGCACTCATCAACAAGGTGTATCTGCAACCAACTAACATACATTAATTTGCACCTCAATGCTCAGCCTCCTAGCTTTGTGACCATTATTGAAAGAATAGTGAATACAGTTCGGTCAGTACTCAGGTTACTCTCCAGTGATCAATCGGTGTATCTAACCCAGTCCTACTGAAGGTTGTACACGACTTGAATAGCCCAGTGGTAACGTCGCTGACTAAAACTCTAGGTTACGTCGCTTCAAACCCCGGAAGAGACATCAATTCCGCTTTGGGTGCAGATACACCATGCTGACGAGTGTCTATAGGCACAGAACCTAGGTCCAGGGATTTCTACTGACTGCCTCCAACCAACCGACGTATTCTTCATTAGCCAGACTGTTGCTTTCTATTAATGTTATCCATATGACATAAACTGAAGGCACAGGGTAGATAGGTGTATCCATCATCTTGGGAAATATTTACCTTATATTGCATTCAGATAGGACGCCTAACAAACAGATGAACATATCAGTTAAGCATCTGGCACAAAAATCCACCTACTCCAGTTGCTCCACTTCACAACAGCGTGTAAGAAACAGGTGGATCCGAGAAAATAACATTGAAGGAGAAAAAAGTGCTGCACGAGGCAAGATAGAACAAACAAATAAAGTTAGTAAACACGTTCAAAACTTCGGAAAGTATATACATCTGTGTCATTAAGTTCGATTTCTAGCCATAGCTATCTACTAATTGACAAAGTCTCGAGGAACTTAGCCAATTAGATAGAATAAAACTGATTTCGTCTGGAAGACTCTTCAAAGTTGAAAGTACTGAAAACCTGTCTCATTGTTTTCTGTTGAACCAGCAGCAGTAAGAGCTCGTGACTCACTCCATGATCGCGGTGACCCCTTTAGTTGTTGTATGACAGTAGCCTAGCCTCTGCCCTTCAATCAAACTCTAACTTATCATCAACAGAGTGGTGCAGAATTGGGTGACATTGTTTAGTGGCTAACATACGGAATTTGCAGTCCGTAAGCTTTGAGTTCAATCTAAAAATAAGTAATTCACACATACTACTGACAAGCAACTGAATATAGTCAAATTACTGATTAAAATTTTTTACAGTTTTATTGATTTTTAAAATTATCTCAATCGATATTTGATGGAGATTACCTATTTTTAAATTGACTGTGATTTGACTTGACTGACATAAGTCAGTACACATTTTTTTTAAAATAAATGAATCATATGGAAGTTGTTATCAAGTAGACAAATTTTAAGCTTCCGAATCCTGTATATGAGAAAAAATTGAAAAACATCGTAAGTTGATAAGAGCAAACTGAAAGAAAAAGTGATCTAACTCTTACACAGGATAAAATATACACTTCAAACAAGAATGATACCCTACCAACCTTCAGTAACAGGGGTTCTTGTTCTCCTTCAAAACGTTCAGCTATAGATGTTATCTGCTTGTTGGTAGCAATGAAGTTCAGAACGCGAATCCTATCCTATTCTTGGCCCATCAGGTGGATGTGCCTGTATTCAGGTTAATGGTGTTCCCATTGAGACTCGAACCCAATATCTACTGGTTCAAATGCCACAACGTTATTCACTAAGCTACTGGGTCACAAGAGCCACCTTTGGTGCATTAGGTATCATTTTTCCTTTATTGATGGTTGGAGTTTTCCATTTACCGTTATTGTGGACTAAATCGATCAGTCAGTCTTGTTATATGGGACGAGGGCAAAACAGAACGAAACCTGTCACCCATCATCGAGCAAATAGAGTTTAGGGCAATACTCAGGCATCGGATCAACAAATAATAACAACTACTACCCATTGTACAACAGACGCCTGTCGTTCCTCAGTGATCCAGTGGATAGTACTTCAAGTCTGAGTGGGAACAACATTAGTCACTGAGGTGCAGGTACATCCAGTGGGTCCCATGCAGAACGAAACGCATGTGCTAGATTCTTCTGTTAGCCGCAATCATAATCTTTGTCAAAAATGAATCCAGCTGACTTCGATTTAGCGTAACCGATTAGTCAATAGTACTCAGTGAGTCTAATTATTGACCTTGTTTTTGAATCTTATTTAGCATCTGCAATAAGTGACTTTAAAGGTCACCCTAGCAACTGCTGAAACGACCGATCAGTCTTCG